GGGGGGGGGGGGGGAGTAAGCCCCCCCCTAAACCCCCCCCCCCCCCCAAATTACTCAGAATTCCGACTTTTCCCATTTTTCTCGAAAAGGCTTGATTTTAGGGCAAAACTCCACGTAACCATTCTGAAAGCTCGTGAAATTTTGGTGCAGAAAAGTTTCAAGTGACTTTCGCCATCACCCGCGGTCCCCCAGTATGGGAGGGCTGAAAATGTCGCGCGAAAACGGCCGTTTCGCCGCGATTTCTCGCCAATAACGCGGAGAAGGTTGGTAATATCGTAAAATTGTTTATCCCTAAAATGATAGAGCATTAATTTTTCATACGAAGGGCGGCCTAACCCCTCGTGGGGGGGAGGGGACCCCCCCCCCNGGGGGGGGGGGGGGCTTCAGGCCGTAAAATTTTGATTGCTTGCGTCGATTTCCTACTCATTCTAGCTCTCTGTGACATGATTCGACCTCAAACAACCGAGACAAATGGCTGGAATGGGTGTTCTAGTCACCCTTTAGATACGTGCGCACGTATTTCCGGCTTCTTAAAATTCTCTAATTTTTAAGGGATGATGACCTTCTTACTTTGCAAGATATTTTGACCAATTTTTTGTATTTTATACAAGTACACTTTGTCGTCAGAGCTCTTGGGCGAAAATAAAAATTGAAATTAAAGACAACAAATTCCGGGGGGTGGGTAAATCCTGTCCCCTCGATAATTCGAGTTGAATTGAATATTTAAGCTAAAATGGGTGTGGATAGTAGTGTCTCCCTAAGACTGGTTTGGTATTGACGTTAAGCAAAATCGGCCCAGCCGTTTCAGAATGGCGATCTTTGAACTTTCACGGAGGGCGGGGAGAGGGGGGCGGTCGAACAGTGGGCCAGGGAAAGAAAGCTTTTGGACAAATTAATCGTCGCCAAGTTGCCTACAGACGTAAAATTCTATGACTCCTCTTCCCTCTTTGCTTCCCGCGGTGAATGCGCCAGCCACCCAGAAGAAAGAACAACCAAATACGCGTAATTCCCTAAAAAAAACGGGAGGCTTAGAGGAGCCCCCAAAAACCGGCGCTCTGCTGCGGTTTTTTAGCGTTTACTGCAAAGGTGAAAGATTTTCTCACTGCTTATGATATGACAGTCATAAGAAAGATTTTAAACTATGTGTGGCTTGGAAGTCTCTCTCTCAAACTTACCCCACTGTCTCCTTTTGGTGCTTTCAATATTGGCCGGTCAGTCCCGGTCAGATCTGTTGTTTTTTTCCCCACTGCCTTCTTCTCACATCAGCCCATTACAAGAAAATCCAAAAAGTTCGGAAACTGCTGTTTTGAAGAGACTGAATAAGGAAGTGTCGATCGTTGTGACCTGAATAAGAAAATAGAAATCTGAAATAAATCTAAGATGATGTATTAGCTTTCGACTCAATTCAATTTTTTCTGCACCTTTAGATGGAATTTTTCGGTCAACTTCATTTTATCTCCATGCAAAAGTATTTACTTTAAGTTGAATCAGATGAATATAATATTTTGATGTTTGGTCTTGTTGCATGTTTTTAATCTTCTAGTTTCCTGGTCTGTTTGCTGGCGCCTTCTTTTATTTGGTTGGTAACTGGAGAGACTCTGCCAAAAGGGAAAAAATTGCCTCATTGATTTGCTTGGGGGAAGGCACAATTTTAAAACGGGAACCAGATCCAGAGAATATTCCTGAAATGGAATCAACCGTGATGTATCATGCAAAACCTAACTCTGCCATGGCGAAATGCTCCCATGTACTGTTATACAACGAAGAAAATGATGGACCTCAGATTAAATACCGGATGAATCATGTGAAGACTTTACCTTTAAAATGGCTCATTTCTTGTATCGAGACATTTTCTATTATCGATCCTGAGTGACAGTGATTACATGCAGTTTTTAAATAATGTTTATTATTATTTGGTTGCAAGGCAACTTCATACTTTGTACTTCGTCGGGTTGAAAGGCTGTCCCATTTCAAATTGCCTACTTTGAAGCATTCGAGCTGTATTCTCTCATTGCAAACATGAACTAAATTGGCCAATAAAATATATTTATTTTTTATTTCATAATATTCTTATCTTTATTGTTTGAAACGAAATTTAAATGGTCACACCTTAAATTACCTTCTTTTGAACTTTACCTGAAAGAACCCCGCACCATCCTTATGGGACCCCCCCCCCCCAGTTCCCAGTAAAACCTGATGAAACTTTGATATGTTTTTCAGCTAGTCATTCTGATCAAAAGCTCTCACGGGCCCACAGAGGCCTCATGTGCGGTTTTCGAGGTATTCGCCGTTTTATATGCGTGAACGGAGGTCCCGCCGGCCGGACCATTATGCGGCACTACTCGTACCCTTCCCTTCCAGTCCACTCTGGCCCCTCTCCACTTCTCCGCCGTACGCATACTCGAGGCTCGGGCCAAGTTAGGGAAAATCAGCTCATTTCGCTGAAAAATCGTATGACTTCTGAACTGACGTACTTGTAGACCGTGGGCCAGCAAGGGGTAGGGCCCCCCCCCCCCCCCCCCCCCCCCCGGTGGGAATTCTGAAGATGGTGATTTTCTTGAAGCTCTGGACTAGTAGAATAAGATTTCTCTTGTTTACGCGAATTCTATCATGGTGGAGGGGTGTAAGTCCCCCCCTCCTAAACCCCCTAAAATTGCTCAGAATTCCGAATTTTCCCACTTTACCTTCAGAGGCTTCATTTTAGGGCAAAACTCCAGGTAACCAATCTGAAAGCTCGTGAAATTTTGGTTTAGAAAAGTTTTGTTTGACTTTGGCCATGACCCGCGGCAACCCCAAAATGGGGGGGGGGGCTTAAAATGTCATTATATGTCAAATCCCCGCGAAAATGACCGTTTCGCCGCGATTTCTCGCCATTTACGCGGAGAAGGTTGGTAATATCGTAAAAGTGTTAATCCCTGAAATGATGAGCGTACATTTTTCATTCGAGGTACGACCTAACCCCTCGNGCCCCCCCCCCCCCCCCCAGCGGTACCCACCCTATAAAGACCGTCAAGATTGGCTGCTTCCTTGAAGTAGCATTATGCGCGAACATGGGCGGCAAAATGAAAGCAACTAGCTTTTGTTCTGAGAGAACATCAATGTGGATTCTTGTGGGAGGTGACACGGGGGAGGGAGGTACATCCTCCTCCCCCTTGTAACGAGGCAAATCCCCCTTTTCTGCGAAGCAGATCCAGGTCATCAGAGGCACATACGTCCTCTGGTATAAGATAAGCCAACGTTACTGGAGGTGCCGGAATGAGCTCGCCGGGATTCTGGATTCGGGCGCCAATTTTTTAAAATGAGTTTGTAAGAGAGGAAGAATGATCAAAATCTTATGTCTCAAATTTCTTGGTTTATTTACAAAAAGAATGTCCTTTCGTTAGCTAAATTTGTGAGGATCCTACTCAAACTACACTCAAAATTATGATAATAATAATTTACGATGTATAATTCTGGAAATGAAGCAAAAGGGAAGCCGAAATGCCACTCACTAACGTGCACCTCAAGGCTTGAAATTTCAGGATACATGTAAGAGGAGAGGAGGAGTGAAGCTGGGCGAGATGCTACTCACTAACGTGCACCTCAGCACAGAAGAAGAGAAAAGAGGAAAGTGAATGGACAGAAGGCTCGACGAGATGCCAATCACTAACGTGCACCTCAAATCGAGAAAGATTCAGAAAAGATGAGAGAAGAGGTGACCCTCCGGGAGGGAGAGGGTGATGAACAATGTTCGGCTTGGAGGGCCATCAGATTGATTTGAAGCTATTGGAAGACGATCTCGACATTCATTGCAATATTTTTGCTACAAGAAAAATTAATTAAAATATAAAATTTACAGAAATGGACGTAGGAAAATTTCCTACAGACATTTATAGTAGTTTAGAATTTTTTACAATTTTTCGTTTTGGGTAAATCTACGGAAAACCCTGATTTCGCAGTACAAGGAGCATCTTCGAGAGAGAAAAAGGAGAGAAACAGTTTTCCATTTCTTCTCATTATTCAAACAGCTGATGTGCTGTCACCGGGCGTCGCGGCGCGTTGTCGCCAAGCCGGGACACATTTGTCGCTATTTTGGTCTACTGAAGAAGGGGGAAAACTTAAAACGGAGAATGAAATTCTTCGTTACACCCCTCCCCCCAAAATATAATCACGAAAAACGCTGATTAAACGCGGAAATTCCACTTCATATAACGATTTTCAGGGCTTGTCATTGACACGCTCACACTAACATAATTTAACGAAGGGGGCGGGGGGAGAAGGGTTTATCCTCCCCCTCCTCTTCTGACCCCTCCCACTCCCCCAAAATATAATCACGAAAAAACTTAAATAAACGCGAAAATTCCACTCTAATATGCGACTTTCAGGGCATGTCATTGTCATGCTAACAATAATATAATTTAATGAGGTGGGGGGGGGGGGTTAAAAATCTGTCCGCGTCCTCCCTCCCCAAAAAGTCTATTTCACTCTCGCTTCCTAGATGGTCATTGAGAGTTTTTGGCATTTTTTCTCAAGACATCTAGTCAAATTCCAATACTTCGTTGCTAAGCAATTTCCACCCGTGTTACTCAGGTGATGGTATTTCAAGTGAATTCTTGTGAGGATTGTTGTATATTTAACATTGGTAATTTTCCGTTTATTACGTATGGTTCACCAGTGAACTTCTACAAGGCGGTAGGAAACTCAAATGCATGCTACTGAGGCTTATTTTCGCGCCATCTATTCTTGAGAAAAGCTCGAACCCTAGCAGTTGATTATTACAGTAATCAGACTTTTTTTTGAAGAAGAGTTTATACAACATACAAATTCCTCTAGAGTAGCGAACATTTTACACTGTTGTAGATTGGTCAAGCAATTTGAAACTTGGAACAAACTGTTGATTTTTCTAAATTCATGACAATACAAATTTTTTTTTCAATCAATTTTTTGAACAATGGACAAATCTGCTACTTTTTCAAGAAAATATCCCCCAGACAAGCATCTATAAGTGCAAACTGTAATAGACAGCGCAACACCGCGGTCACTCGAAAATATAGCTAAAATTTCATGAGGTGCAACTGATTTTTTCTTCTAGACGCCGTGCCGGCAGGTTACATGGAGTTCTTTGGGACAAAGGCGTATGCGCGCATCCGCCCTTTTTCGGGAGAACGCGTTTTCTGAAACTGGATTTTTCCTAGTTTCAGAAAATATACATAGTGTATTAAAAAGTCCTGCCCCCTCTTTTTACAAAACGATCCACGTTATATTGTAGGGATCATAGGGGAATGTAGGATTGTAGGCACAATGTTCCGTTTTTGCAAGTATACTCTCAAAGACTTGTTCTTTCAAACTAATTTTTCGTTCGAAGATATTGGCTAGTACCAGCGCTATATACTTCTGAACTTTCAAATGCGATTTCCGCGGAACTACTTTTTTGAGCACACACCCTTGTTCCAAAGGACTCCTTAATTGAGGAGCTTTCCGGAAAAAGGGCACATACCGAAAAAACGCGTTGTGAGAAAAACGCATTTGAAGTTTTTATTCTTACTTGGCCACTGATGATGACATACATCGGAACTGGGGCACTCGTATCAACGTTCATACATCCTAGAATGAATAATGACCATTGGTACAACTTACACTTCTTTCAGTGTTGTGGGAGGATTTTTTTAAAATTTTCCGTTATGTGCCCTTTTTCCGGAAATGGACCGGTAGTCATAGGTTTTGGCTTTTGAAGCTGAATTTTCGAGACCTTAACGAGTTTCTAAACAAAAATAAATAATTCCGATTGATTAATAAATAATCATTTCGATCGCGAACGAGCGGGTGGATCATCTTCGATCATTATGAATGAAAAAGACAGCGAAACACGCGAAAAAATCGAGAAAATTCAAACTCACAAGAGACCATTAAACATTGAATGGTTAATAATTACATAAAGTCACGTGTGACCGGTGCAACGCTGACAAGGGGAGTCTACGAAGTGACATCCTGGGATTGGGTTCATTTTGCTTGTACATGAAGAAGAGACAAATCTAAGGTTGACGTATTTTTTTTTAGCCGCCACCTCCCAACCGTTCTCGAGATATCGATTTTTAAAGTTACGATTTTTGCACCTTTCCGCGCGGAGTTCCGGCGAGTCAACTGAGCGCCGGCAAGCTGCACGAAGCGCGTTTCATATGAGCGCTGCAGACCGGCCGTTCTTATCAATAGCTCCGTGGCCGAGTGGTAGAGTGTTCGCCTACCGTTCCATAGATCGCGGGTTCGAATCCCGCTTTGAGCCGTAGCTTATAGGGTACGCCGCAATGCATTCACAAAAGTTTTCTTTATTTTTATCACACACCAAGGGGTCCGCCCCCTGGCCGCTACGCGGCCCAACCCCCGGGGCGAAAAGGCGCGCTTCGCGGCGAGCGAAATCATCGAAATCGACCGTTGATGGTTGCAAATTCAGAGTAAGGAAAAAGTTATTAAGAATATAGTGTGGTGGGAAATTTTTATTTGAAACATCATTTTATCATTCAATTAAAATTATTTACCCAGTAACCGTCAACGGTCGGTTTCGATGATTTCGCTTGCCGCGAAGCGCGCCTTTTCGCCCCGGGGGTTGGGCCGCGTAGCGGCCAGGGGGCGGACCCCTTGGTGTGTGATAAAAATAAAGAAAACTTTTAACGCATTGCGGCGTACCATAAGAGCTGCGGCACGAAGTGGGATTCGAACCCGCGATCAATGGAACGGTAGGCGAACACTCTACCACTCGGCCACGGTACTACTGATAAGAATGGCCGGTCTGCAGCGCTGATAGGAAACGCGCTTCGTGCAGCTTGCCGGCGCTCAGTTGACTCGCCGGAACTCCGCGCGGAAACGTGCAAAAATTATAACTTTAAAAATCGATATCTCGAGAACGGTTGAGAGGTGGCGGCTAAAAAAAAATACGTCAACCTTAGATTTGTCTCTTCTTCATGTACAAGCAAAATGAACCCAATCCCAGGATGTCACTTCGTAGACTCCCCTTGTGAGACAATCCCTGCAGCCCGATGCTATTGCATTGATTAGCAGAATTAGTACGATGCATGATGCATCTGTAGTGAG